AGTCGGGGGTATGAATTACCTCGATCGGCCGGTCGGAAATTCCCCGTGCGCCGGCGAGTGGCCGCCGGGTGGCCGCCGGTCGGCCTCTGGTTCGTCTTCTCCGGCGAGCGGCTGGCGGCTAGGGTTTGTGGTCTGGTGTGGAGGTTCTATTTATAACCCCTTGCCTTTTGATCACAGCCGTTCATTTTGTTTTAATCTGGGCCGTTCGTTTTTGATTGAATCTGGGCCGTCCGTGCGATTGAATCTGGGCCGTCCGATCGCGTGATTGATTTGGGCCGTCGGATCGCACCCACGCGGATCGCCAGCGTGGCTCCTTTTGGAGTGACGCGGTCTTGCCACGTGGCAGGCCCTGGTTGGCCGGGACTGCTGACCGGGCCTGCTGACGTGGCTGCCCCTTTTTTTTTTTTTTTTTTTTTTTTTTTTTTTTTTTTTTTTTTTTTTTTTTCTCCTCCTTTCCGGGTGCTACAATTTTTGTTTATCGTTCTAAGCTCATGCGGCAATTGGTTACAATAAATTATTTTGCATGGTGTCTTAAGTTAGGGTGTTGAGTATATACACTTTTTTTTATATTTCTCATTAGATTGGACTTTGCATCGTTATTGAAGATCATATTAAAATCAAACAATATGTTTTGACATATGGATCATTATTAGGAGGCGTCAGTATCCATACGGCGGTTGTATACCTAGCAACGTACTCTTGTAAAATAATCTTATTCTCGACCGATAGCTTAAACTTGATTAAGTATATACATTTTTGTTAGTACGCAAAATTAAACAAGCTTACAAGAAAATAATTAAATGGTGAATTTCAATTCCTAAGACAAGCAAAAATGTCCGTACCTACTACTTGGGAATAAATTTGAAAAAATCAGGTTGATTGACAAGGTATTGAAATGGGAATTCAGATGTAGAAGAAGTGGGCAAATCAACAAGTTGAGATTTGGTGTCCAAATGGTGACTGTGATGCGAAGAAGAAGAAGAAGATGCAAGAAGTTTGTCGAGAAACGACCAATCACCACCGTGTTGTGGCATGAGACTGGAGGAGCCGGTTGATGTCAACCTCAACAAGTTGTGGGAGCATTCAATATCCATGGTGTTAAGAGACATCGTTGCAGGCGATACAAATGATGGGGGAGGGACAGCTGATTCTGGACTGAACAACTGTGGAAGATCAAAATTATAATTGTCTAATTTATGGCTTTGTCTTGGCTCCATAGCAGAATAGGAATTGATGGCACCATGCTTGGTAATCTCACAACTCAAATGTTCTTCTTCTTCTACTTGGAAATTAGCTCTGCTGAGATTCTTTTTCTTGAACACCCTGCATACCACCCACCCATCTTCCTGCTAAAAAACCAAACCCATATTGGTATATATCTTCAAAAACATTTATATATATGTAATGGGTGTATATAGTAGACCTGAAGTTGGGAGTTGGCATGATCGTCCAAGCGATATTCGTGCATGATCCAATCGGTCTTCTGGCCATGAGGAGCACGACCTGTGTAGAAGACAAGGGTTTTCCTCATGCCAATCCTCTTAGAGTTGGGGAGATGGATGGGCTTATCTCTCCCTGTTGCTTTCCAAAAACCAGCTGTGGTTGCTCGATTTGTTCGAGTTCCGGTTGGATACTTCTTGTCCTTGTGGCTGAAAAAGTACCACTCGTTCTGAGGTCCTGTTCCTATTCTGCATTTTTCTGCATCATGCATCCACATATATATACATATATATATATATTATATCGTTATCTAATTTAGTACCTTATTGTGGTATTGTTACACTTATAATTTAATAAACCTTAATTCTTACTTCTCAAATAAACATACACACATATATATATATCATCAACTAATGAATCTCATAAACATCAAATCATAGCTAGCTACTGAACATGAATCAACATATATATATATATATATATGTATACATATTACATACATGCAAACCCTAAAGTTTGGTAACTTTGCATTGCATGAAAATCCACAAGATAAGTATAGAATGTATTAATGCATCATGCAGATATCATCACCTAATTTAACGTTATAATAATCAGCATATACAGATCATACGCAGCTAGCTAGGGAACATGCATGGACATATATATATGTATATACCTTTGAGGTCCCAAGGCTCGAGTTTGTTGAGGTCGATCTCTCTGATAACATCAAGGTCAATGGGTTCATAAGAGACCTTCTTCATGAGGTAATAATAGAGGAGCTCTTCATCGGTGGGATGGAATCGGAATCCTGGAGGGACTGAAAGCTGCCCGTTTCCTCCCATGTTCATCTGGCGACCATCATCATCATTAACTCATCAGTTGCTGGAATCAAACAAACAGAAGAAAACAAATAAATAAAGCAGAGAAAAGGGAAGGAAAAAAGTTGCAGACCTTTTCTGGGAGTAGGATGATGATGATGAGAATGACAAAAGAAACAAGACAGGAAAAGTAAGAGGCGAGCTGTCCAATTTCTTAGCTTCAAGGGCACGATGTTTGGCCTTTTATCTCTTTTTCACGCACACAACGTCTAAAAAATATATAAATATATAACTCCATTATTATATATGTGTGTATTCAAATATAATTCTATGATTAAATGTCAAATATGAAGAATAGAGGGTCTGGTAAATGTCCGTTGAATGCCAGACCTTACTCCTGAATATCGCCTTGTTACAATGAGCATAACTGTCATTAAAATTTCAATTTCATGTATATATATATATATATATATATATGTTTGTATTATTCGCCTTTGTATTATCTATATATATATATATATGTATTTATATGCAGTCGGTCAGAGTCAACAACATATATTCATCACAATCATTTTTTTCTTTCTTTCTATGTATTCTACATATTTACAATTACTTATAATTCTAATTAACATGCGCACCTATTAAATTATATATGCATATAATTTAATTCTCTTTCTGTTTTTACTATTCTTTACCGTTCTATCTTTAATTTCTTTAATTTTTTTATGGAACGTACGGTATAATCAGAAATCAAATATATATATATATATATATAAACCTATAAATTTTAATTATTTTTAGAAAATTAAAGAATAGAACTTTAAAACATTATTTAATATGGAAAGAAGAAAAAAATTTTAAAATTTATTATTCCAAATGAAATTCATATTTGGTTCAGGTTTTAATCTTATTGATTTGACTGGTAGTGTTTAAAGCATCATCTCACACAAATTTTATTTATTTTAATTATTTTTATTATTAATACATTATATTGCTATTTATTAGAGAATTCTCTAATAAATACTTAATATCTAATAAAAAAAAATAATTGAAGTAATTATCAGTAATGTACGTTAGCTAGCTAGGAGATAGCATATATAGAAAATGTAAAATAAGTATATTAAAGAGAAAAGAAAAAGACATAACTCTCATGTTGATAAATAGGGAACAAAAACGAGAAAGAAGAGTAAAAATTTTGGAGACATACATATATTTATGTGTGTGTGTGTGTGTGTGTGTATATATATATTATGA